TCGTTAGTATGTCATTATCTGATTTTATAAATTTAAAAACTAGGTGGTTTGGTTTATGTTTTTGTTTTGTTTTTCCTTTGAAACTTCAAACTTGAACCATAACTTTCATATTTTAAATTGTACTTTTTAATGATTAATATTATACTGTTAATGTTTACTTTAAAGTTCAACTCAAATCCAAAATAATTTAATAGAATTACTAACAATTCATTTCTCAATTTTGTTATTAAAGAGTCAAATAAATATACTAGTGTTACTTCAAGAATGATCTTTAAAATAATTTTAGATATGAAATTTTCTTTTTTTATTTAAAACAAGTTACTTTTCATTATAGACATCAAGACAATTTATAATGAAATTTAACTCATTATTGCAAATACATTTATTGTAGTGATTATTAATGATGAAATTTGAATATTTTTATGTTGAATATGATGTTAATTTCTATTTATGAATAATAAAGTCAAATATGTAATTTGAAGTTGGAATATGAAAGAAGTAAAAAAATTATGCTTAGCCTTAATATATAATTTTATATGTTAAAAAATATTGAAACTTGATCCAATAACAAAATAAGGGTAAAATGGTAATTTTAGAAGCCACCTTTTTATTAGTGGCTGTAGCACCCGGAAAAATACGACGCGGACAGCACACGAGCGGAGGTCCCGGCTTTCTCGGCGGGAACCGGATCCCTAATGGAGTCACCAACTGTCGCACCCGAAAAAAATGCGACGCAAACGGCATGCGAGCAGAGGTCCCGACCCTCGAGGCGGGAACCAGATCGGACGAGGAGTTGCCACCAAAATTTTGAGGTAAATCTTGGAAAACTGATTAATGGGAGGATAAGGGTGGTTTGCGAAATCAGAGAATAGGATCGGGAGTGTATTGAGCATGGGGAAGGTATTAGGCACCCCACAACACTCGTTCGTTAGAACGGTTACCTGAAGTTTGTTGTGCTCTATTAATATAGTTTTATAATTATTTTAATTATCCCTTTTATATTCATGTGTTTGATATAAAAATGATAGAAATTAGGTGAGAAATGTTTATTTATTTACAAGGGAGGACGGACTTCACTCAGAATCTGACTCTGAGGCCTACGTACCCTGTGATGGGGATCAAAATCCACGTAGTTCGGGCTTAAAAGTTTGTTGGTGAAAAATTTTTTGAAGAGGAATTAATTAAAAATAATTCACCATGTTGCAAGTAAAACAATTTCTGAAATTTTGATATGTGTGTTTTAAATTGCAAAAAGTGATTTAATTTTAACTATTTTCTCAATTTTGAATTTTTGGAATAAAGATATAAAAGGGTTTAAAATAATTTTTCTTTATGTTTTATGATTGAGAATTTTAATCGCAGTACTTGCAGAACTTTATTGGTTCATACGATGATGCAATTATTCTAAATATCTGCGGAGATTCTGAAATCTTACACGATAAAAGAGTTTGGTAATTTAATTTATTTATATTCTTATATACATTTTTAAGTGTTAATAATAATTTTTTAGTATGTAGATACATGTTTTGAAGAATTTTAATCAACATACCTGTAAAGCCTTATTGACTTATACGGTAATATGATTATCCTAAATATCTGCGGAGATTCTAAAATCTCACATGATAAAGGAATTGAATTTAAATACATATTTTAATTTAATTAATTTAATATATAATTTATATGTATATATTTTAAAAACTTAATCGTCATATCTGCAAAGTCTTATTGACTCACATGATAATACAATTATCTTAAAAGTCTACGGAGATTTAAAAAATCTCACATGACCACAAGATATAATTGGTAAATATGATTGCATTAATTTGGTTAATTAATTTCTTGTATTATATGATTATTTACAAAAATTATTTATTTATTATAAAAATTCAGAATCACTGTATCTGCGTGGACTTATTATCCCACACGATAATGTGATTAATTTAAGTCCCTACGAAGATTCTTAAAATCTCACATGGAACTTAAATGGATTATTTAGATTATAAAAAGATAGTTAGTTTTAATGATTGGTCATTGAAACCATTGATTATACATATAAATTGGATCTCTATACCTGTGAAATCTTATTGATTTACACAGTATGAGATCGCTTTAAATGTCTGTGGAAATTCTTAAAATCTCACACGACAAGTAAATAATTAGAGATAAATTTCTCTTATTCATTTCATTCATTTTTCTTTCAATTGGATAAGAATTGAATTCTCTCCCCTCTGCTTTTTATAAAATAGGGTTATCACAATAAATGAAATCATACATGTGATCATCATAGAAAGTGACATACGATATGAGTGTAACAATATTATTGACAAGTAAAGGACCTTAGGACTAATAGAGATGAAAAAAACATGCCCACACATATTAATATGCCCTTTCATGCTAAACACATATTTAAAGACCCTGCCTAATAATTGCACTAACTCTTTCTTTATTTGAAATGAGATTATGCCTAAAATTGTATTAAGCTTAGTTATGATAGAAAGCAAAATTTTTATTTGTAATCTCTTTATCCTTCTTTTTCACACTTTCTTTTCAAACAACAATCACTTTATTTATTTATTTATTATTAGTTTTATTACTTTTGTCAAAAACACTAAAAGTTCATACCAGAATTTGTTCATGGCAGCAAGTCCGACTTCCATATGAAGTCTCTCCTTCTTACTTTAAAGAAATGTTATGAATATGAAAAAGCTAAATAAATGATTAATTTTAATAAAGCTAAACCAGATATGCGAATAATCAAGTTCAAATAAGCATAGTTCTATCATCAAAATCAAGACAACTTTCATACTCATAACACAAGAAAATGGGCAGACGGACAGGAAAGCATGGGAAAAGGATTTTCATCTCTATAACAGTATAGATAATCAATCAACAAAGCATTTACCATTTTTGAATCAGAAGAACTCCGTCTCCGTCTCTTCACGGTTTACTCTTTCTCTCCGTTTCTCTTTTTGTGTCTTGGATCAGTACCCTCTTCTCTTTGTTCTGCATCTCTGACTAGGTGGGAATAGCAGCTTGGTTTTCTCCTTCTCCTCTCCTCTCGGATGTCTCTGTTTCTTCTTTTTTCACCCTCTGTTTTACAGAAAAACTCATCTCCTTCACCTCTTCTCTTGCCTCCGTTACTGTCTTTCTCAAACTCTCTCTTCTCTGTCACTATTTTTTCTTTCTTCGCCTCTGCTTTCCTGTTCATTTTTGAGTCCTCTCCTTCTCACCTCAGTTTCGGTCTTTTCGTCACCTCCTCTCAGCCTCTATTTTTTTTCTTCTGTTCGCGTTCTCTCCCCAGCAAGAACAACTCCTCCTCCCTCAGTCTTTTTTAGGAAACACACACTCTCCCCTTCGGTCTGCTCTTCCCTGTCACTCCCCCCTCCTTTCGTTCGGTCCCAGTCAGCCTTATATAGAGAATGGAAGGATTGAATGATTACTCCCCTGCTCTGCTTCTTCCTTTTCCCTTCTCTTTTACTGTGTTTTCTGCATGCACCGAAAGCTCTCTGCTCTGGTTTTCATTTCTGCATGGCTCTTCTTTTCTTTGCTCTGCATTTCTGCTTCTTCTTTATCTCTATGCCACTGATCCTCGTGTGCTCTATTCTCCTTGATCAATGCTAAAAAGATAGCTGATCCTCTATGTTTTTCTCCACGTTTTGCTCTGCATCTGACTCTCTTTCCTTTACGTGTGAGTGTTGTGTTTCTGCTTCACTTTTTTTTCTTTTGTCGTGTCCGTGCCTCTGCTTTTTCTGTGTGTGTTTCGTGTGTGTTGGTGCTGTGCTTTTTTCCTTCTGCTCTCTCGTGTGTGTGCATGTTTCTGCTTGTGTGTGCCTAACTGCCCACTGAAGCTGTGATGAAACGCTGACTTTAACAACGTTTTGTCCAGCTTTTTTCTCTTTTTTTTATTTTTTGATTAATAATTTTGATTAATACATAGATACATACATATATATATATATAATGAAAATAAGATTTGATGAGAAAAAAGTTAACTCTCAAAAGTAGGCTCCCAATATTCTTGAATGATTAGGATAATTTGGGAGAGATTTTCTTTTTCAAGATTTAACCTTTCTTTTTTTTTATTTTGTTAAATTATCATTTTTATTTTTTTAAAAAAATATAATCTTAAAACGGGATTAAATTTCATTTTTTTTATTTTTATATTTTTTGATTATTTATTATTAAATTTAAAAAATGCGCGGAAAAAATACGGTGTTCATAGTGGCAATTTTGGCACCACAAAGAGTAATTATATAAATTATATTTTTTAAAAAAATAATTTTATCTGGGACATTATCACCATCAAAAGACCACTTTAAAGTTGATAATTAAAAGTCGCTATTAAAAATATTTTTTGGTGAGACTAGTTTTTATTGATTATTGTTATTGCCATGCATATAACCAATTGGTAAACAAAATGATGTGATAATGCGGATGCTGTATTTGCACACCATCTACCAACTATTTATCTATTGTTATTATAGATGACATAATCGTTTTTATTGATAATAAAACATTTTATCAATGCCTGTTTGTCTTTAATTGCTTTTTAAACAATACCACAACTCCATGCAGCTGTAATTAAAAATTAAGAAATTAAGTCTCACACATCTATAATAGAGACCCAGAGGTCCTTCGGTTCTCCTAAATAATTTATAGCCAACCAAGAGTCATCAAAATGAACTGGCATCCACAGATCTTTAAGTTATCTTAATATATTTTGGCATATTAAAGTGAAATTTTCAAAACCCAATTGATAATATATAGTCAAAACAAACACAAGCCACTGAAAAGTCATAGGATGCATAGCAATTTTTGTTGAGAAAGTAGCCATAAGTTTATCGCCCTTGAGAAAGTAGCCATAAGTTCATCTTCCTTTAATTTCAGTGAGCGTGAGTGTTATTGGAGTAAATAGGATCTTTTTGTTGAGAAGATTCTTCACTCATAGTGTATTGCCTCTTTGTGAAAGCAGGTTGTGTTGGTGAAGGAAGATTCACGATCTCACTATTAAGCATTGAATATACAAAGGCCATACTTGGTCTATCTTTTGCAAGTTCTTGTACACATAGAAGTCCAACTTGTATGCATCTCAAGATCTCCATATGAAAGCTTGAATCATATATTTCTGGGTCTATCAGAGATTTAATATTGTCTTCAGTCCATATTTTCCTGCCTAAATATCAAATCAAGGTGTAGTCATTAAATTTGTACACCACATCTTGAAAATCAAAATAGTATGTGAATGAGTCTTACAAATCCCAATAGACTTAAGCATATCTTGTGATGATAGAAGCTGGTGTTTTTCTTCCCACTAATAATGTCTAACAACACCACTCCAAAACTGAAGACATCTAATTTCTCTGAAAATAATCCTTCTATTGCATATTCTGGAGACATGTAGCCGCTATATTTCCAAAAACAATTTGCCTATTAATTTCACTATATCCTTGAATAATGAAATAAAATATCATCATAGAAGATATGATATTGTGAAACTTACTATGTTCCAACAACCCTTCTAGTGTTGCCTTGATCAATCTCATTGCCTCTAAAAATCTTTGCCAAGCCAAAGTCTGATATTTTTGGATTTAGCTCTTCATCTAGTAAGATGTTACTTGCCTTTAGATCTCTATGTATTATTTTTAATCTTGAATCTCTATGGAGATAAAGTAATCCTCGAGTAATTCCTTCAATTATGCTGTAGCGTTGTCTCCAATCTAGGAATACTACTTTCCTTGAATCTAATTTCAAGAGAAAGAAAGAAAAAAACTTCATGAGGTGACCAAAACTAAAATCATATTCAGTTGTGTATCTAAAAACAATGTAAGTGAAAAAGAAGGAAAAAACTTCATGAGGTGACCAAAGCCAAAATCATAGTTAGTTTTGTATCTAAAAACAATGTAAGTGAAGATCAAGTCTGATGAGAAAATGGGCATTAACAAGAACTAACCAAAAAGCACTGCATCCAAACTTTTGTTTGGCATGTACTCATAGACCAACATCTTTTCATCTCCTTCGATACAACAACCAAGAAGTCTTACAAGATTGCGATGCTGAAGCTTAGATATCACCCTTACTTCATTCATAAATTCTTCAAGGCCCTGTCCAGAGCCTCTTGAAAGTCTTTTAACGGCTATAACTTGTGAATCTTGCAATTCTCCCTAGAAGAAAATGGATAAAAATTAAAGAATCTATAATTAATTATACATATACATACACAATATATATATATATATATATATAAGAATATATTTGACTCAATTTTACCTTGTATACAGGACCAAAACCTCCCTGACCAAGCCTATTAGAATTGTGAAAATTGTTTGTCGCAATTGCAAGCTTTTCAAATTCAAACAATGGAAGCTCTTCTAGTTTTTCTTGTTTTGAGTCTCCTATCATGCCTTCACTCAGACCATTTTGATTCGTTTTGCCTGTATCAAACAACAATATATGTCAATCTGAATTTATACCTACACTCATCACTGTTTGTGGACCCCTCTTTTTACCTTCATATTTGTGGACCCCTTTGAATATTTAGAAACTAATATTATTATTTAGTGCAACGCTATTTAAAGTGGCCATAATATATAGCGCATGTACCTTTTAATCTGGCAACGATTTTCCATAAAAAATAAGAACATGCAGCCAAAATAGTTGCTCCCATTATCAAAGAAATAGCAATCACTATCACCTTCCAGTTGCTCCTTCTTTTATCTCCCATTTTATCTGTAACATTTTCTGCTGGTTTTTCTGCATTAATATAAATGAACCAAGTTTATCGGATTGATATGAGCAAGAAAGTAAAAATAAACTGAAGGAATTACAAAATATACCGAGTTCTGAATTTGCTGGACGAATGTAAAGATCAAAACCTCCTGGAGCGAATGTTCGAATATCAATTAATTTACCACTCCAAGACATGCATCTTATGGCTAAATCATAGGCATATGCCAAACAAGAGCAATTTTGTAAACATTGCTTTCTGCAATTTTCTTCATCAGGAACCTGCAATCGCTGTACAAAATCTGGCGTTTTCACTTTCTCTAGTTTATTGAACCGATCTTCACTTCCATTTTTTATCCTTTTGTCGCACTGCAATGGTTCTTTTCTTATACAACCATTTTTCCAGTTTTGCTTATTCCATTCATCTGCATTCTTGGGCTCAAACCCATCTAAACAGCTACAAATTGGAGCGCTTTGAGGATTACAGTATCCAAATTCTCCACATTGACCATACACATCGCATTCGTTGTGTTGAATCCTCCATCTTCCAACTGCAATCTTGTTGCTCCATCCCGTTATAACCCATTTTCCTGTTGAACTCAACTTAAAGACTCCAAAATAAGATGGGTTTGCCAGATCAAAAGAGATAGAATATGTACCATTGTTTGCTTTTAGACTGAATCTATCAATATTTGAAGAAAAAGGTACTCCTAGAAATTCCCTGCCATTCCATGGACCAGAACGCCAATATGGTTTAGATCCATTGTAGACTACAACTTCAGGAGCATCCAATCGTTCAAGACTAGCAGAGAAGCTACCTGTGGATGGATCAGAAGGGGATTTCCAAGATGTAAGAACCGTTGGTTTTTCGCCTGTTCCTGGGTTTCTAACAAGTTTCATTTTTGGAATAAATGAATCAGAAGGATGCTGAAAACTCTCCCATAGTGCTTTTCCTGTGGTGCTATCATTCAGAACAAGGTTCCCAGTGTCTAGAAGTTGAGCCATTGATGAATTGGGAGGAATATTTGGCACATTAGATGACCAAAGTGTGAGATTTTGATCATTCAACACCACAAGGTTGCCATCCTCAGAAATTGTGAAAATTCCAAAAGAATCTCTAAGAGGGTTGTTTCTGTTAGCCACCCATATGGCTGTGGATTCATCTAGATACCAAATTCCAACATAGCGATTGGTTGAATTTTCTGGGCTAAAGAACCCAAGCTTGAAGGTGCCTGAGCTTACAGTATCAGCATCTTTGATTAATTGAAACGAGTCATTAAAATCCATAGAAGAACCGGAATATAAACAGAAACAAGAAATGATCAGCAAGGCACGTACAATATCTTTACACATGATTCTTAACATTGATTTCCACTTATTCCCTCACCTCTAGGATTAAATCTGGATGTTCTTGCGGCGACGCAGATCAAATTAATAGCCTCAAGAGACCAGAGTAATGCTTCTTTGATCTTCTCTCTGCCTTTCCATTTCTCTCTCCGCTCTCTGTTCCCGCTAGTGATTGCGAAAGTGGGAGATCAGTGGGAGTGGGGTCCGACTTTAATATATATACATCCAAAACACTCATGAGGGCATATCAATAATGGGGGAATCATAGAAAGTGGGTAGTGAAGTTCCATTTCACCGGAAGTTACATAAAGTACTCCCTCCGTTGGTATTTTAAATCAAATCAGAGAAAATTTCAGTGAAGGACCTCGACCAAACATAATAAAAAAGAGGACCTCTAAATTTTTAAAATTTCATTGAAGTACTTGTATGGATTTTCATTTGAATTTATAACGGAAATAATAAAATTGCACTCATTTAAATGAATAACATAAACAACTCATTTGTTCCCATATTATATATTATTTATTTGCTTACGAAATGTTGTTCATTTACTTACTTCACTTGTTTATAGTTGTACATTCACTTGATTTCATTTCAAGATCATAAACAAGTAAGGTAGGTAAATAAATAATATTTCATAAGTAAATAAACAATATATAGTATGGGAACAAACAAGTCATCTTATCATGAAACTAACACTTGAAATGAAATCAAGTGAGACTAGGGCTATAAACAAGTGAATTAAGGAAAAGAATAATATTCTATAGGTAAATAAACAATATATGGTATGGAAATAAACAAGTTATTTATATCATAAATTCAAACAAAATTCCGTATGGGTCCTTCAGTAAAATTTCATAAATTTAGGGGTCCTCTTTTTCATTATATTGGGTCAAGGGTCCCTCATTGAAATTTTCCTATTAAATTATGCACTAAATGAGTTACTCCAATCCTATTTATAAAGTAGGGAGAGAATAATTTTTGTGATCTTATTTATAAGTTAGGGAGAGAACAAATTTTTTTGTCCTATATATAAGTCATGTCATTAATTGTTTATCATAATTTTCTCTTTTTACCCTCCATGTCTCTCCATTTTTTAACATAAGAGAAATTATCATATGTTTTTTTATTTTTATTTATAATCAAAAATATATATTTCAAAAAGCATTTATCATTTATTCGCTAGATGATCCCTTACAAAGTTAATATTTATTTTCACTAAACAAATTTATTTCATTAATTATTGGGATAATTTGGTGCAAATTTTTAATTTCAAACATAATTATTATACTTAATAAGGTTTTTTAAACTGTGTGAATTAATAATATTCTCTTATATTTGAAAACAAAAGAAGTATATATTTAATAGGGGTAAAGATAAAAATTTATTAAATTATTAGACAAAGTTAATCAAATTTAAATTTTTCTGATGAAACATGTTTAAAATAACTTATAAATAAAACTATCTAAATAATTAATTCTCTTTAAAATTACACATTTTATTTTCATGTTTACCACTATATAATAGGGTATCGTAATTAGAAAATCTTATTAATTACAACTCAAATTGATGATATTTTCAGGAAAACTTTACTAATCATACTTCCAAAGATCCAAAATGCTTTATATTATTTAGCATGATACTTTAAAAAAATGTGAAAAATATTGAATGGGAGAAGTACTATATATATTTACACCTGTTGTGATGAATTTCTAAACCTGTTACAGTTAGTATAAGAAGTCACACCAATTGATTCTATGCACTTAGTAATTGGGGTAAAAATATGTTTTTTATGGGCCGACGGCCTTTTTTTTTTTGTATAGTATGATCAATGATGGATCATAAGATATAACTTTTTGAGAATGGATTTTTCAATATATATATATATATATATATCAATAGCAGGGAATGATAGAAATGAACGTGGTAGGTGAACCAAGGATTGCTTTTCGGACTGTGATTGAACTGTTGAATTTACATTACCTAATTAATAGTCAGCATAATGTCACGGGACTAGTCTTTCAACCCGTGCTGCACTTAGACAACCTTCACTGGAAGTTGTTAAGTAAGCCTAACTCGTATGAAAGGAGGATGTTTGGTTAAGTAAAGGAAAGGGAAAGCTTAAAGGCAAAAGAGAGTAGAGAGAGTTTGGAGAATGTGAGAGTTCTATTACTTTGAGAACTCAAGGATGATTTACAAATGAGGAGGGGTGAGGTATTTATAGACCTCCCCTTGGATCTAGAATGTTCCCACCTCCTAAATGGACGGTGGAGATTAAATTTATCCTATGATTACAATTGATTCTCTAGAATTCTCTTAACAAATATCTAGATATTTAAATGGAAGAATCTAGAGACAATATTAAAATATTGAGGCTAGAATTGTGTAGGCTTCTCTAGAATGTTCTTGCACTCTCTAACTCTCTTAAGATTAGCTGGGAGTTTTCTGGAGGGTTCTGGAGCATTCCGGACCTTATAAAAAATGACGAAACGTGACAATAAGCTACCCACTGATGACCATAATCCCAATATATTTAAGTTAATTAATGCCAATTGCTTTTACTGATTGCTTGTGCTTTATCCTGTGCTACCACTATCTTTGTGTGTAGCTGCCAAAGGAATGTAGTGCGCCTCTTGTACATATTCGTATATATAATAGCTAAGCCATTTCCTGTGATAGCCACGTGTCAACGTCTGGCTGTCCTAGTGATAAACTTATTAGAATTTTTCTTCGATGTTGATATTCCTAATCTCATTTCTAGCCAATGATGACTGATGATATATGTGTTTGGTTACATGATAGTGAATGAGATAACTATATAAAAGCAGAATTTCCATGTGGGACCATCAGTGGAAGATGGGTTTGTTCGAATAATTTTAATGTTATATGTGTGGAATAGTATTAATAAATAATCAAGTTGATAACTATACTACAATATTGATATTGATGTTAAATGCATTTTTATTAAAAAAAATGAAATTGGCGACATATTTCTGAAGTGAAAAATCTGTCACAAACCTGTCGTGAATTTTTTTTTTTTTTTAAGGATCTGCGATTGATTTGCAATGAAAATGCGAAAAATTCATCCAATAAATTTGTGACCAATAAATTTTTGATGAACTGAATCATACTATATCTATTGTAAACACTCAAATCCGTCACAAATTCATCACAACTCATCCCAAGTTTTGGATCTAAATGGATTGACTTATTTAATTAAATAAGCTATAATGTGTGTGAGCACATTATAAAAAAATAACTTTTGATGATAATTTTTAGTGGCAATAAAAAAAAGTTACCATCAAAATTTACTTTTGACAATGACAAAACCGTTAAAAGCAAACCTTTAGCAGTAACATTATATCGCCATCAAAATTAGATTTTAGTGGCAACCTTTAAATGTGACTGCTAAAATTCACTTTACTAAAAGCATTTTTATAAAAAAAATTAAAAAATTAAAATTAATTTATGTAATTACTTTTATTAGCGATAAACCGTCATTGCCAAAAGTATTTTCATAAAAAAATTAAAAAATTAAAAATAATTTATATAATTATTTTTTAGTGGTGACAAACTATTACCACCAAAATTATTTTTATATAAAATAATTAAAAAATTAAAATTTTAGTTGCGATATTTTGTTGCCACCAAAAATATTTTTACAAAAAAATAATTAAAAAATTAAAAATAATTTATGCAATTACTTTAAACTGCAATGGTTTTTTGCCGCCAAAAGTATTTTAATAAAAAAATATTAGATTAAAAATAATTTATTAATTATTTTTAGTGGTGATAAACTGCCGCTGCAAAAAGTATTTTCATACAAAAATAATAAAAAAATTAAAAATAATTTATTTAATTTCTTTCTAGCATTGACAGTATTTTCATAAAAAATAATTAAAAAATTAAAAATAATTTATGTAATTATTTTTCATGGCCACAATTTGTCACGTTCAAGAGTATTGTCATAAAAAATAATTAAGAAATAAATTAATATTTTTTAAAAAATTAGTTTACATAGTTACTTTTAGTGGTAAAATTTGTTGCGACTAAAGGTATTTATATATAGAATGAGAAATAAATAACATTACAATGTTAAAGCCATGTATAAATACTTACTTACATATATCTACATAAATAACATTAGAATGTTAAAGTTGTATGGATGTTGTAAAATGCAAATAACATTGTAAACTACTTAACACATGCACACTTGATACTTGGCTTGGTATACATATGGTGTCTACTCTATTTGATGAGCACTACTTTTTACTACCACATAATTATTTAAATAAGATGCTCCATATTTGACGGTTATTTAAAATAAGCAACAAATAAAATAAGTGGAGAATACTTGATAGTTTTTTGAATTATGGATGAAATTATGTATAAACTTATTGAAGTTTATTTATTTTAAATTGTAAAATTATTGGGAAGTATTCCCTATTATTTTTAGATTAACTCTGTTAAAGAGACTTTAATGAAAGTCAAAACTAATTTAGATTAAGTTAAGATAAGATTCTTTTTATTTTAATTATGAAATATCTACTTAAATTTTTAATTTGGAGTTTTGTTTGTTTAACATCTAATTTTAGTTTATCACATCTCCACACATTTCCTTTCACAAAGATAATAAAAAATAATTTTTTAAAATGACTATTAACAAAATTTATATGATTAAAATAAAAGTTTTATTAAAATACTTTTAAAATAATTGAAAAATTGTAGATCAAATTTATTTTTTATAAAAAAAAAGGGAAAGCATTTAACTTAGGAGAAGATAAAAGATTAATAATTTATTTATTAAGTTTTGGGAAAAATATGGAAAAAATAAAAGATATTTAACGTAAACTAATATAATGCATATTTATAAATAAATTATATACTTAATTATTTTTATTTAAAAAATAAAAAAATTTAAGAATTGGTAAATATGTTCATAAGAAAATTATTTAATATTTAAAAATTATTTCATTTTAAGTTCATTTTCTTAACAAAATAATATTTTATTAAAAATATAATATATATACACTCATAGGAATTATTTTAACATATTAATAAATGAAAATAAAATATAATATATATGTATATATTTTAATAATATATTACTTGTTATATGTGTATGTTGTTAAATAATTTATATTTAATTTTGCATATAATAAGTGATG